TGAATTCACCTGATCTCACTTGTCTTCTTTCCCCTTAGCAGGGTTTCCAGTTTCTAAACTTGATGTCCTCTCCCAGCTGGAAAAAGGGGAAGAGTTCTTTTCCACAGATCTCCAGGACTCAGAGGAAAGAAAGCTCCCGAGAAGCAGCTATACAGGTGAGTGAGCATTAAACCAACTCAGTGCCTGAAGAAAAGAGCTGGGATTCCCAACAAAGACCTTGTGAGCTCTCTGTGTTCATGATTGTTCCAGCAGGTGTCATATCCTCAGGGCAGATGTTGCTGACGGTGTCCTACCCACCCTGACTAACTCCTGGCAGTATCTCCTTCCCCAAACTTCCTTCTCCTAAAGTGTTTGGCTAGGAACTGAATGCAGAATTGATCCCCTCCTCTCTCCCCTTTAAGAAAGAGTTTGGGGCAATTCAATCCCTGATTTTTTCAATTTCCAGCTGTTCTTTTGGTTTTTCCATTCCTATATCTGAGATTTTTCTTTCTCTGTCTAGCAGGTGAGGGGATGGTGAGAGAGACCATGGAGCAGAATCCTCAGCAGGAAGACGATGAAGTGGAGCCACAAGGGTCTGTATTGCAAAGATGCACAGGGAGTGTGTCCAGGAGTTGTGATCAGGGAAAAGCCTGTGAGAGTCAGCACAGGCCAGAGAAGCAGCAGGGAAACCAGCCAATGCAGAAAGTTGGTAAATCTGTTAATTATCAGGGAACTCACAAAGGCCACAAGGAAACCACGGCCCAGCAGAGAATCCCCATGGGAGAGAGAAATAACATATGTGTTGAATGTGGGAAAAAGTTCAGTAGGCGCTCACACCTTGTTAAACATGAGAGAATCCATAAAGGGGAGAAACCCTATGAATGCTGTGAGTGTGGGAAAACCTTCCCTCAGAGCTCAGCCCTTATTAGTCATCAGAGGATCCACACTGGGGACAAGCCATATGAATGTTGTGAGTGCAGGAAAACCTTCCTTCGGCACTCTGACCTTATTAGACATCAGAGGATCCACACAGGGGAGAAACCTTATGAATGCAGTGCATGTGGGAAAACCTTCACTGAGCGCTCAAACCTTATTGACCATCAGAGAATCCACACAGGGGAAAAACCCTATAGTTGCTGTGAGTGCGGGAAAACCTTCTCTCAGAGATCAACCCTTACTAACCATCAAAGGATCCACACAGGGGAGAAACCCTATGAATGCTATGAGTGTGGGAAAATCTTTGCTCGGAGCTCAGCCTTAATTAACCATCAGAGGATCCATACAGGGGAAAAACCCTATAAATGCTGTGAGTGTGGAAAAACCTTCGCTTGGAGCTCAGCCTTAATTAACCATCAGAGGATCCACGCAGGGAAGAAACCCTATGAATGCTGTGAGTGTGGGAAAACCTTCACTGAGCACTCAAACCTTATTAAGCATCAAAGGATCCACACAGGGGAAAGACCCTATGAATGCTGTGAGTGCGGGAAAACTTTCACTGAGCGCTCAACCCTTATTAAGCATCAGAGGATCCATACAGGGGAAAGGCCCTATGAATGTAGAGAGTGTGGGAAAACCTTCCCTCAGAGCTCAGCCCTTACTAGCCATCAGAGGATCCACACTGGGGACAAACCATATAAATGCTGTGAGTGCAGGAAAACCTTCCTTCAGCACTCACACCTTATTAGACATCAGAGGATCCACGCAGGAGAGAGATCCTATGAGTGCTCTAAGTGCGGGAAATTCTTCCATCAAAGCTTAGCCTTTATTTATCATCAGAGAAGCTGCAAGAGAGAGAAATGCCATAAAAACCTTGTCTAGAGCTGAGGAAAGATTTTATTTTCCGTTTGCTAATTCCCACATAGTGAGCTTAAAGGAAGCGTTGTGTCCCCATGGGCTTTCAGTTCCCCCAGCTGAGTTATGTGCTTTTCCCTTTTGTAGCTCACCCTCCCTTGGGGGGAATCCCACCGTCTTTTTCAGCAACTCCTTTGTCCTATGTCATGGAAGTGTGTTTCCCTCCAACTGGAATTTCAGTCAATCCCAGGTGGGGGAACCAGGAGTGACCTCAACTAGGTACATGGAGGCCTACATGGGCCTTGACTCCACTAGGATTTTCCATGGAGTTAGCTAGCTTCAATTACATATCCTAATGTAAAAACACAAGTATTTTTTCAATTAAAAAATACCCCATATATGGTGGCCAAGATAATTTAGAAAATTTCCTCAACACCTGGCATAACCTCCATCACTTTTCCTAGTCTAAACATATTTGGAGTATCACATTTATACTTTTCCTCCCACTGCAAAGAAATTGTTAGTCACCAGGTTCCCATACTAGGGACAGATTGTCTCATTCCCAGTTGTTCTCACATTACACTGGGTTGTGCTGAATGTTTTTCTACCATTTTTTCATATTAAATATATTTAAATATAACAAAGAGAAGGAGCAGGATTAGAGATGGCGGGGGGGGGGAGGGGAGATTTCAACCTCTGAGACACCTGAAGAAGAAGTGGTGAGTTGGAGGGATTCTCACATTCCGAATTACCCCAGCAATGTTTCCTGTGTTTGAGCCAGATAGAATTTATCTTCTCCACTTTCTACACCTCCACCTGTCATTATGTCTTATGATTCAGTGTTCTCAGCCCTCTACTTGGGAATCACATTTTATTTTCTTTGATCATAAAACAGTATTTTCGAAACTGAGATGACAGTGTCACAGACCTGCAAGGGGAATTTGAATGGATGTCAAACACAGCATGATCACTGGGAGTTGAAATCTCAGTTTCCAACTGTTGGGAAAGCCTCTTCTAGGATTTTTCCTACTGAGATGAGCTTGTTTGCAGATGGAGAGGTTGAGTTTGTTTTGTTCAGTTTTCCATTGTGATGATGCTAGGGCTGTCAAGCGAATAAAAAAATTAATCATGATTAATCGCGCAATTAGTTGCACTGTAAATAAATGGTATTCTATTAGTCTTTAAAATATTCTTGGATGTTTTCTATATTTTCAAATATATTGATTTCAATTGCCACACAGAATACAAACTGAACAGTGCTCACTTTATATTATTTTATTACAAATATTTTCACAGTAAAATAGAAAATAAATAGTATTTTTCAGTTCACCTAATACAAATAATGTAGTACAATCTCTTTATCACGAAAGTTGAACTTGCAATTGTAAAATTATCTATCTTTAGAAATCTCACCACTGGTACCTTCTTTGTGTTTTGTCAAATCTGAAGTGCAAGTGTTCTTAAAACGAACAACATGTGCTGGGTCATCATCCAAGATTGCTATAACATGAAATATATGGCAGAATTGGGGTAAAACAGAGCAGGAGACATACAATTCTCCCCCAAGAAGTTCAGTCACAAATTTAATTTATGCATTTTTTGAATGAGCGTCATCAGCATGGAAGCATCTCATCTGGAATGGTGGCCGAAGCATGAAGAGGCATACGAATGTTTAGCATATCTGGCACATAAATACCTTGCAATTCTGGCTACAAAAGTGCCATGCAAACACTTGTTCTCACTTTCAGGTGATGTAAATAAGAAGCAGGCAGTATTATGTCCCATAAATGTAAACAAACTTGTTTGTCTTGGCAATTGGCTGAACAAGAAGTAGGACTGAATGGACTTGTAGGCTCTAGAGTTTTACATTGTTTTGTTTTTTGAGTGCTTTATGTAACAAAAAAAATCTACATTTGTAAGTTGCACTTTCATGATAAAGAGATTGCTCTTCGGTACTTGTATGAGGTGAATTGAAAAATACAATTTCTTTGTTTATCATTTTTACAGTGCCAATATTTGTAATAAAAAATAAAGTGAACAGTGCACACTTTGTATTCTGCATTGTAATTGAAATCAATACATTTGAAAATATAGAAAAATATCAAAAAATATTTAATAAATTTCAATTAACAGTGCGATTAATCGCGATTC